ATCAAGGCATAGTTATAGTTTAAACATCAAGCGTTGCTGTTAAGCTAAAAAGATAAACTAAGTTCTCAACGAAATCATCAACTACCAATCTTTTAAGCAAATGATATGTAATTCAGCACTAAACAAAGCAACTTGTGATAAGTTGTAGTTTTCATATAGACGTTAATTGTAAATTAACAAATTAAACTGCTTACAAGTGGAGGAGGCTTGTCCATATGCCTTTTCAATTATTTACATATACCATAAGGCATATTCTCTTTTTCTTTTTACAGGAACAAATGAACCACAAATACATCTCAAACCTCAAAAGGGTTACCAAACAGCTGAAAAACTAGTCTTATCAAACTTCAAAAATAACCCATCACTTTACCCCTTGCTACAAACATCACCATCACTCTCATAGCAACATATCAAGATCAAGATATATATACATAAGTGTGTATATAAATATATATATATATATATATTTATCACCACTGACACTGAGACTACCACACATCCAATCATCTAGCAGTATTGTATAGCTATCATATCATATGCGTGTTATTCCACCACCGCCGGTGATAAATATATATACCATTATGTGAGACGTAATACGCGAAATTTTTTTTTTTACAAAAAGACAATTCTACGCCTCATCTACTGAAAAAACTACGAGGTGATGAGAAAAGGCGACGGGGAGAGAACATTCCCATATACCTAGGAGAAGCAAGGCCCTCATTAATGGTGCGATATTCTGGCATGGTGAGCCCTCCCTCATGATCTCTAGTCACATGGCTAGGGCTTCTTGAGTGTCCGTTGAAAGTTTTATACTTAACCAATTTTCCAAACCATGTCTTCTTAGGGGTACTACTCTTGTGGACCCCGCCGTTATTCATTTTCTCGCTCATGTATTCCTTAACTGCATGCAAGCCCTGCTCGAAAACCTCCATGGGAGGGGACACGAGGGGGTTGCCGTCGACGCAGAGCTTCTTGAGCTTTCGTAGGCAGCCGACAGAGTCGGGGAGGGCGGCGATCTTGTTGTAGCTGACGTCGAGCTCGACGAGGGAGAGGAGGAGGCCGATGGAATAAGGTAGGGTTTCGAGGTACTGGAAGTTCTGGCTGACGTTGAGGACCTCGAGGTTGATGAGGTTTTCGAGGTCGTCGGGGAGTGACCGGAGGCAGTTGAGGCGGGCGTCGAGGGCGCGGAGGGAGGTCAGGTGGGTGAGGGAGTGGGGGAGGAAGACGAGCTTGTTGGAGTTGACCGAGAGCTTCCTTAGGTTGTTAAGCTCGAAGCCTATTGTGTCTGGGAGTTTGGTCAGCTTGTTGAAGTTTGCATTCAGCTCTTCCAATGATCTGCATGCAATGTTAGTCCGTTGTGATCATGAAACACATTAGATATACATATCACGTTTTATCGGCCGTGTGTATGTATGATATTTGAAAAAGTAAAAAAAAAAAAAAAAAAAAAAAAAAAAAAAAAAAAAATTAAA